TGCACAGGGAGTGTGTTGGGGACTATTTTCAGGCGCTGCGTAATATCATTGCACCTGCTGCACCCATGGTACGGGAGCAAAGTTCCCGTTGGAAAGGGGAGTTGGACAATGAGCCTATTTTCAAAAATAGTGGAGTGTTCCTTTAATCTTGTGATGGCAAAGCTACATTTTCAGCAGCAAAATATTTACTGCTTAATATTTTTGTGAAATACCTCTGGAGCCAAGGCTGTTAAAAGGGATCACTGTTGCACTTTATAAGGACACTTTAAGTGTCAGGATAATGGTGAGATCACCGCTAGAAGAAGGGAGTGTGGGATTGGGAAATGTTGCATGCCAGATTTAAACTTTCATTAGCCACTGGAGCACCACAGCTTAAAAAGCATGTGTGCTTTCCACTAGGCTGTGAATCAGAAACACAAGCAATTAATTTGAGGGTTTTTCAGGGTGAAAGTGCTCTCCCTGGTGGCAGCAGGTTCGTCCCTGTACAAGGAATGGCTTTACTGCTGCCAAGCCAAATGTCAGAGCTGACGTGGATCAGGGACATGTAAATGGGGTAGTTAATTGCCTCCATTGGATTTTGAAATCAAAGCTCAGTACACTGAGCTGCAAATGGAGCAGTGGAGAAAATTAAACTTCCCCAGCGAGTGGCAATCAATGTAAACTGAACAGAATGCAAAGCAAGCACTGTTTCTTTCTCTTCCACTTTAGCAGATCATTATTCTATTTCAAATACTGCAGGAATTTGTTGTTTTGGCCTGTGAGGAAATTCATCATTGATTTACTGTATCAATAACCCAATTACATTCATTAATTTAATCAGGAAATAAAGGTAATATTTGCTTTGCCCCATGTACTGTAAAATATTGCCATGATTTTAGAATATTTAACATAAATATTAAAGTTTCTTTTGGCTGTGAACTAATTTTCTTTTAATATTTTTTCCCAGTGTTACAGAACGCAATCTGTTATTTAAAACATTTTCGGTACCTTCATTTGTTAAATGTTGTTCCTAAAATATAACTGAATGCATTGCAGCTGAATGCATGAACACACAAAGGGGAAACTTTCTATTTACAAATTTCAGCCCCCTTTCTATTTACAAATTTCCAAATTTCCTGGAACAACATTCCTATCAACCAATCAGAATTGAGGGATAACTTTTCAGGAAATATCTGTTTTAGGCTTACAATCAGGGTTAGGTGCTTCTACACCCTTGTTAATCAGCTATCATTTCACACTGTTTTTAGGAATAAATTATGGGTAGGGTTAGGTTTAGGGGTAGGGATTGGGTTAAGTCTATATTTTTGGACAGTTATGTTGATCCAGGATCAACAAAAGATGTTGATCCAGGAACATGTCTTACTTGGCTAAATCATGGCGACCAGGAAATGCCTTGTGAAATCGGTTTTATCTTTTCTCAGTATATTTGAAAATTTTATCAAATGAAATGGTTAAATACTTGTGAAGTAAGCTGTCTGAGAAGCTCAGAAGGTTATGTGGAGTGTCAAACTTGCTCCTGAAGGGCCAACGTCCTGCAGATTTTAGCTCCAACTTGCCCTAACACACCTGTCTGAAAGTTTCTAGTAAACCTACAGACCTTGATTACTGATTCAGGTGTGTTTAATTGGGGTTAGAGCTAAACTCTGCAGGACAGTGGCCCTCCAGGAGCGGGACTAGACTCCCCTATCATTTGGTGTGACAGCAGAAACTGAAAACACCACAAGCATCACGAAACTGCGCTGCTCATTCACTATGAGACACAAAACATGCAGGCTTCATATTTGTTTTTGTGGTCAATAATCACAGACACTAGTCCATATTGCAATTCGAATTTCATTAATTGTATAACCGTGTTTTTAAATGTCACATCCCGGATTCTGTATTTTCGATTAATGATTGAATTCTCTCTGCGTTTTCCACATCATGGAAACCATAGAGCCCTAGGTTGTGCAGTACAGTGATTTTACCACAGATAAAAGAGTATTCTTAGGCACAACACAAAGCGAGAGTGAATTTGTGGCGACATCCATTCCAAATTTAACATTTTATAATTGCTCCTTGAGCTTGATTTGCTTACTCAGGCTTTCATTGTATCATTGCTTAAAACACATCCTTCACAACAAGCTACTCTTGCCCTCTCCTCTTCATCTTTTTTTTTATCTTAAGATTTCCATTACTTTTTTTTCCCTTTCTCTCTGTCTCTGTCACTCCCACAACCCCATCTTACTTCTCTGCTTTCTTCCCAATCTGTTTTCACTTGTTCTCTCTCCTCCCTTTCCTTTCTGTCCCTGTAATTTTCTCAGAGGGGAGCTGACAGTAAGTTCTGATACATCCTCTGGCAAGCCAAAATTCTAGGGGAAAGAGAACAGTTAGCATGAAAGAAACAAGCTCTCGCAGATTAATGAATACATTTGCCATTGTTCTTCCTTTACTGCAGGGTAATTTGCAAATAGCAATGTCACACTTCAAATGTTGGATACGGAAATAATCTTTCTCTACCAAGAGGCACTGGGACTCAACTTCCAGAAAGGTTGTTTCTTAAGGGGTTGCATCATACACATCAATGCAGCATTCTCTGATTCCACTTTCAGACAGTGAAAGTGAAGGGTCTTTGCAAGGGAGCACAAATATGAATTTATGGTCTGCTGCTTCACCTCAGTGCTCTGACAAAGCTCCCACAATCCCACTTGGTCTGCATCTACCTCAGAAAGTCTTGGTTTTAATACTGACAGAACTTTTGGTGTCTGTCGCCTGCGAATGATGATTTTTAATGTCTCCTGAAAAGACCAAGATGAACGTTAATTTCACAGATGTGTCCAAGTTCAGTTATTGAAACCAATTAACATTGTAAATTTTTTCTTGATTGTTTTCAGCACGCGAGGACAATGTGGCAACATTCCGGGGTGCAGAATACTTCTGCTATGACTTGTCTCAGAATCCTATCCAGAGTAGCAGTGATGAGATCACTCTGTCCTTCAAAACTTGGCAACGCAACGGTCTCATCCTCCACACGGGCAAGTCGGCTGACTATGTTAACCTAGCGCTGAAAGACGGTGCCGTTTCATTGGTCATCAACCTGGGCTCAGGAGCCTTCGAGGCTATCGTTGAGCCTGTCAATGGAAAGTTCAATGACAACGCCTGGCATGACATCAAAGTGACACGCAACCTGAGACAGGTAATCACTAGACGATGGCCGCTCTTAAGACTACTCACAGCTAGCTGGAGAAATAGTTTATGTTCTACTTCAAATATATTTATGTTGCATCTGGTTTATAATCAGATAATTATTTTTGTAACTGTCATTATTTCATTAAGACTGGATTTAGTTGCACTGTGATTTGTTACCTAGTTTCCGAATAATGAAAGAGTATGTTCTTATTTCCTCCTGTGTTTTCAAACCTTGAAATCTTTTATCTTTGTTACTTGACATGATTTAACACTCAAGGGCTTTCAGAAAACTTAAAGCTTGACCTCAAATCCTTTCAGTCTATGCTCCAAAGCTCTACGAGTGTTAGCGAACTTTCAAAGTTTTAGCAAATCACCTTGCTATTTTTTAGACAGTGGTCGACATTTGGTTGGCATTTTCCTTCAGCTTATGCATTTAAGCAAGGCACATGGAAGTCTGACTAAGCCAGCAGTTTGTTTAGGATCAAATAGCTTTGCAATGAATCCTAAATAAGAAGAGACTAGGAGCCTCATTTATAAAGATGCACCTAATCATTTTAAATTAACATACAATAATTTCCTAAATGTTCCTATAAACTCTTTACTGTATGCATGAATACTTGTTCTTAAATCAATTCTGCTTTATTATTGCAAAAAAAATGAAAAGTATATAAATAAAATACATGTATATTAAATACTGTGCAGAGGAACAGTAATTCATGTATATAATACCCTCAGATGTCTTTGTATGGTGAGATGTAAGACAATAAAAAGCATAAGAGTCTAATAAACAGCAGTTGCATCCTAATTTTGTCAACTTAACCTAATCAGTGATTCAATTTGAAATCACATTTTCATAAAACTTTCAAGCAAGAGCTTTTAGTGCTACTTGGTTTAGCCTGCCAGTTAAAACACAATAGACACAATGTAATACGTGCTATTTTTTTTACCATTATTTATCTTAATATTACTTAAAAATCATTATTTTCCTTGCTCTTAAAATGTTTGAGCATAGTCATAGCAGTGCACGTGTGACCTCCTCATTCCAAACGCCCAGTATGCATATAGTAATACTAGAATTATTAACACTTAACATTTTTTTATAACTAAACATTGTTAGGTAAGTTTTCCCTTTTTGAACTTGAAGAGCCTTTCTAAATCCCAATTTGTTTCGCACTTTTAATGTGGTATGAAATCCATAGAATTTAGGATGATATTGGATAGTATGTGGGTTTTCTAACTGAGGCCCCAAGTGTTCTCTTGTTCATGAAGCCTTTGATAAACTACCGTCAGTAAGCGTGTTTGTATCTGCTGGTCAGCTGTATGTCCATGGTTTGGGTTTGAGTCTTCAGTGAGATCATGCTTGACTTGTTTGGTTGACCTTAAACTTCACTGGCAGGTGAGGGAGATTTATATGGAATGAAAATATGATGAGGGTTCGACAAGTAAGTGCTTTTTTCATGTCACTAATTTGTTCAGACTGGTAAAAGATATAGCACAATCCTCATGGGATGTTTTTTAGACTAGTGTATGAGCTGACAAACTGAAAGAGCTCTCTCTCTCTCACTCTCCCGCTATCTTTCTCTTTCTCTAATTCATGGGCATTGCTGTTTTAAAAAAAAAATGTTGTGGATAGTTAAGCCAGGGGAGCACAGACAATCTGGTTGTGACGTCACAAAATAGTAGCGCCTAGGCTAATGAATATCATTTAGATTAAACACTAACAATTTAAAATGGCCTGTTGCTGTTGTTTTTTTTTTTGTTTTTCATAAGAAAATACTTTTAGAAATTACACCTCGCCGATGCCAACAAATAAAAGGACTTGATAATAGAAATGATAGTTCCTCTTCAGGAACTCGAGCTGCGTCGAAAACGCTAGGGGAACGCCTTCTGCGACCCACGCTCTGGTATGCCTTGAAGTGGAAACTTTTCACTTCCTGGTGTAGAGATCACCAGCTCGACCCAGCTAACTGCCCAGTCGGTACAGTACTGAAGTTCCTGCAGGCCCGTTTCTCTACAGGATTAACCCACTCCACCCTGAAGGTCTACGTGGCTGCCATTGCGGCCTACCACGCCCCTCTCTGTGGCATCTCAGTGGGAAGACACCCCCAGGTTACACGTTTCCGCCGCGGTGCGCTGAGGCTGAGGCCTCTCGTACGATCACGTGTCCCCACGTGGGACCTAGCAGTGGTGCTAGAAGCTCTCTGTAAGCCTCCATTCGAACCTATCGAAGATATTTCTGATCGCCATCTTACAATAAAGGCTACCTTTCTTTTGGCAATATCTTCTCTTAAGAGAGTTGGGGATATAGCTTCCTGGTCATGATGTCATCCGCCGTGACGTCCCGTTCAGCTATTGGACTGATTTCACATGTGATTCAGAGTGTGGGTCGCAGAAGGCGTTCCCCTAGCGTTTTCGACGCAGCTCGAGTTCCTAAAGAGGAACTAGGGTTACATACGTAACCTGAGATGATTTTCTTATTGGTATTATTACCTAATTCAAAAATAAGTGTTGGTCAGTTTTAAAAAAAAAAATAAAAAGATTTTTTAAAAAGATTCCAAGTGCACTATCATACTGCCAGTAATTAAATAGGGCAGTTTATGAATCAGTCCATGTTGTAATAAATTAGCTGTTTTTATTGTAAAGAAAATCTGTTACACTGTTTGAATATGCTGCAAATGCTATGTCACTCTGCAGTTGACAAAATGTGCATATTCTTTCCTTCATGACTATAAAAATGAATGAAATTAATTCAAATTTACTAAAGTAATGTATCTACCTATTTCACAAAAGTATAAACTGTATACAAATATTAACAACAACATTATGATTAGAAGTGTCTTTTAAACTATTTCAAAAGCACACAGAGTTGCTGTGTTTTTTTAAGTTCTCATAACAAAGGGATTTGAGGGAGCAGTCATTCTTCCTGATCCCTTTGAGGACTTAAATGTATTTGCAACATATTTACTTAAAAAAAATTATATCCTGATATCTCTACTTCAGATACTGTTGTTCCATTTCTTTTATGTTACATATTCATTAGAATGTATAGCAAGCAGCAATAAAACGATATATTTGACCCTGGACAACAAAACCAGTCATAAGTCGAAATTGAGATTTATACATCATCTTATACATCAATAAGCTTTCCATTGATGTATGATTTGGTAGGATAAGACAATATTTGGCCGAGATACAACTATTTGAAAATCTGGATTCTGAGGGTGCAAAAAAATTAAAATATTGAGAAAATAGCCTTTAAAATTGTCCAAATGGAGTTCTTAGCAATGCATATTACTAATCAAAAATTAAGTTTTGATATATTTACGGTAGGAAATGTACAAAATATCTTCATGGAACATGATCTTTACTTAATACCCTAATGATTTTTGGCATAAAATAAAAATCAATAATTTTGACCCATACAATGTATTTTTGGCTATTGCTACAAATATACCCCAGCGACTTAAGACTGGTTTTGTGGTCCAGGGTCACATATTTTCAAAATTGACTAGCTAGTTTGGAGATGCATTTGTAACTTGACATACCATCTTAAAAAGGTAACAATTATGGTATATTGGCCACAAACTACATGATGCAATTGCATGCAAGACTAAAGGTGTAGAGTGGTGTTTTTAAGATGGTGAATTTAATGACACAACTTGTCTGAGAGGCTTTTATCATGTTAAACGTATAGCAAGTTAAGGACAGCACACCATCGGCATGCTAATTAAAACACTACCGCTAAAATCTAAAACTAGTCAACAATCTTTCTCACTAATTGTCTAGTCTATTGTTGGATGACTAGTCAAATAGTCAACCATTGTGAGCCATCTCTATTAGCCATATGTCTCCACTCCAAATAATACCTACGCTCTCATTATACTGTACTTTTCCTCTTTAATCTCTCTTTCCCTTCCTGTTTCTCACATCTTGGGAAGAAACAGTTCTTGGGACTAACACTATTCATTCATGGGATAATTTTTATGACTAACCTGTTTCTAACCAAACTAATGTACTAACACCCTGAAGCTTCATCATTAATTTCTTTCTCTTTTAATTTCGTCCATTTATTAACTTGAGGAACGGTGTTCTGTTCACAGTTTTTTAATTTCCTTTCTCCCCCCTTTTCCACAAAGCATTCAGGCATTGGACACGCTATGGTAAACAAACTACATTGTCTGGTAGATATCATTCTTATTGTCCTTTTTTGGTTTGCCGTGTGTCCCTCTCCCTTTCTTTCTTTTTTCTTTGAGTTTCATTCTAGACACTCTTTTTAAAAAAATGAGGAAATGGGTTTGTATTACCAGGAATTTCAACATTTCCCTCCTTTACCCTCCTCTCAAACTTCCCTCCCTTCTTTTACAGTTTTGTTTCTTATTGTTTTTTTGTTGTTTATCAGGCTGGCTTTTACTTCCTCACATTAACGTTACATAGAGATTCACATCCTCACTGGGACTCTCACAGGAGCTAGTAAAATGTTTTTTCTCCCCACACCAAGCCTCCACATTTTTTGCGAGGACTGTCGGCAATAACTGACAGAGGATTTCCAAGAATGTCCACAAGGGAAATTTCCACCTTGCAGAGCCTCCCGAAAATAAACAAACACACAAGAGAAACTTAAGAACTCTGGGAACTCTGGCAGTTGATACCTCCACACCACTCATAGCATGTCCACATCTCCACCATCTCATTCAGCCTCATAAATCACTGCGACTAACACAACATTCGATTTATCACTCCCCTTCCACCCAAATCCCTTGTGTGTGTCTACCGCATGTTGTTTTGTGTGCCGTGTATCTTGTTGCATGGCCTTCCTGCTTCTTTATCTAGTTCTGCATGGGTGCTTGCTGATTGGCTGTTGTGGCTTTGCTCCTCCCCCTTTTCATTGAACCAATGAATCATCGATCCTTCTCATGTTTATTTAGTATGACCTTTTGAAAAAGGATAAAACATTTGATTTTCCCAGTGGTTAATGCCTTCCTTTAATGCATGCATGTTCAAGTCTTGGCATGTGTCTGAACGTCTGTTTATGTGTGTGAGTGAGTGTGTGACAAAGTAGCGTACCCCTAAAAACTAAAACAAGTACAAATAATTTGTCCTTGGTTTTAACGTTTACTAACCCTAATTAGCAATATTCCAAACCAGATAAAAATTCATTTTCTTAACCCATCAAAGATGAAGAAAATATTCATCAGCAATATTTTCTTTACCTGTCCCGTGAACCTATACTAAACTATCACCAATAAATCTTATCCAGACCAATGGTCCAGAGTGTTAGCAGTAAGCAAACCGAAATAAGGACAAATCTGAACAAGATAGACCATAACAAACAATACAATAAGGTTATCGCTCAGGTTAAAAGCACATCTTGAAATTAGTTACTAATTTGTTGTCTTTTTATATTGTCATCATTTAACAGGTGACTATATTGGTGGACGGTATATTGACCACCACAGGATACACGCAGGAGGATTACACAATGCTGGGCTCAGATGATTTCTTCTATGTGGGGGGAAGCCCAAGCACTGCCGACCTGCCTGGATCTCCCGTCAGCAATAATTTCATGGGCTGCCTGAAAGAGGTGGGTCCTACAAGATTTGCATAATCGTGCGTGCATGCACGAACGCACACTGTGAAAATTACATCATAAAAAGCCTGTCAGGATGTTAATGCCATTATAAGATGCAGAGGTCTTCACAAAGTATTTGTTCACTAAAGTCATGTTTAAAAATGTATGAGTTTCATTACATTAGATGAGAAAATATCAAACATGGCATCTGCATGCAAATTACGCTTTACCAGAACTAACTTCACTTTTCTACTCAATTATGTGTTTGCTTTTAGGCAACTGGTCTCATTGTGTTTTTTAATAGATGTCAGTTTCTGTCATGTTGTCCAAATACTTCATTTTGAATAGTACTATTACTTTATAATATTGTTTTAAAACCTAACAAGTGTGTTGTTGTGAGATGATTAGCTTGAGAAGTGTGCTTGTGCTTTCTTTCTTAAATATATATATATATATATATACACAGTATCGATGCAAAGCAGCTTTACAGAAAATGTAAGTTTTTACACGATATTTAGTAATCAATTTAGTAATGCTAGTAATATCATTATATTAGTTATCAGTGGTGACTATCTCAAGTTGATGTCCATATGGCAGAAATGTACGGTAAAAATCAAGCAGTTAGTTAATGTCATGTAATCAGACAGATGGTGAACACTATTAACAGCAATGATTATATGTTGCGATCAAACTTATAGCAAAATTTTGTAGTTCCCTTTCATGGGAACTTCGAACTGCGTCCTCTAGGGGTCGCTATGGGGAACGCATCGTCGTGACCCGTGTCTGAAGCATACATTGAAAAAACATCAACTTGTTGGCCGGCGACAGCCATGACGTCACTACCGGTGCGACTATAGTATAAATAGGCGCTGGGAGCACACATCATTCTCTTCTTCGTCTTCATTGACTGTTTTGTTTGAAGCGTGCATTTCTGTGGTAAGAGCGATCTCTATTCATCTCATTATGGCGAGCACTAGCAAAGCGTTTAAGAATGTGTGCATCCGTGTTGACGTTGTTTAACATCTGCTGACACACACGATCTATGCGTTATTTGTTTGGGCGAAGAGCACGCACGCGATGCCTCCGAGGGGGTAGAGGACGCAGTGTCTCGTTCCCTACTCAGGGAACCATGGTTACATAAGTAACCTGAGACGTTTTGTATGTTCTCTGAGGGTTGGCATCATCTGAGGTCTTCTGAGGGGTTGTCATAATCTCTTCTCAGGTGTTCGGTCATCTCAGATCTTTGTAAGGGCTGGATCCAGGCCCGTGGCAGAAACAGAGAAGGTAATAGAGAAAAATTAGCATAGCTTCTGTTCCAACTAAGCAAAAAATGATGTGTTTAACCCAAGCAAAAAATGTTAATGTGCATTTGATCCGATGTAATTGAAGTACAAGGTTATGAGATACGTCATGTGAATGAGTAATGTGATGTGAAAATGTGTAATGTGAAAGAGATGTGTCTTTAATCTACATTTAAGCAGAGAGAGTGTGTCTGATCCCCGAACGTTATCAGGAAGGCTATTCCACATTATGTGAATGCTTGGCTAAAGAGATGTGTCTTTAATCTAGATTTAAACAGAGAGAGTGTGTCTTTGAACCCCAAACATTATTAGGAATGCTATTCCAGAGTTTGGGAGCCAAATGTGAAAAAGCTCTACCTCCTTTAGTGGACTTTGCTATCCTAGGAACTACCAAGAGTCCAGAGTTTTGCGACCTTAGGTAGCGTGATGGATTGTAGAGTGACAGAAGACTAGTTAGGTACACAGGAGCTAAACCATTTAGGGCCTTAAAAGTTAGTAGTAATATTTTGTAACTGATATGGAACTTAATAGGTAGCCAGTGCAGAGAATGTAAAATTGGGGTAATATGATCATATTTCCTTGACGGTAATATGATCATATTTTCTTGACCTGGTAAGGACTCTAGCCGCTGCATTTTGGACTACCTGTAGCTTGTTTATTGAAGATGCAGGACAACCACCTAGCAGTGCATTACAATAGTCCAGTCTAGAGATCATGAATGCACAAACTAGCTTTTCTGCATCAGAAACGTCTTGGTTACGTATGGTAACCCTCGTTCCCTGAAGAAGGGAACGGAGACGTCACGTCGGATGACCGACGATTTGGGATCTCCCCTTAGAGAGACCAATCTACTTCGAGTGT